CGTTTCGCGGCACAGACCTCTATCGTTCCCTTTGGCGGCACACACGGCAAAGAATGGTACTCATAGATGAAATGTTGCGATTCCGCGGAATCGCAACATTTCGATACTTGTGTCAGGTAGCTAGTTGGCCTGGGCCCCTGCTGCTCATGTCCAGAGACGTACCCCAACCCGACCCTCCCACAGAGTCATTTTCCCCCCATACACAGAGACTCCAAAGAAATAGCTGCTTTGCCTGGGAGAACCTTCTGGCCATAAACACCTGTGCAGATCAGACGCTGAGGTTTTGGCCCTCCTAGACTGGGGATGCGGGAGGGGGAGGTCTTATAACGACGGAGTCACGAGGCTATGTTTATGCCTGGAAGTTCACGAATCCAATTCTAGCACCCTGAATGCACGCGCTTACCCAGAAGAGAGCTTCACAGTGGCCCAGGGTCGATCGGGAGGACCCGCCACAGCTCGCAGCGGAGGCATTTCTAGGCGATCGGCACACGAGGTCCTTTTGAACTCAGCCGGGGAAGATGGGTCATGCTGAAAACTGTTGCTTTGAGGACACGTGGAGATGAGGATATGTACCGTGGGGCGGGGGGCATGCGTCTCAGACGTCTTCACTTCTGGGTCGTTACAGCTCCCCGTCTTTTGCCTGTAGTAATCACGTGGAAGATGAAATGATTTAGAATCGTGGACAAAGTGGAAGCAACTCACAGAATTCACCGTGTTACCAGAACTCTGTCCAAACAGCTCATAATTTCTATACCTTATCTCCCTTACCATAGCTTCAGCACTGAGACTTTCCTCGGCGTGGAAAGAGGAAAATGGTCATGTGAATAGCATCATGGATTTCTTTATTCCGTAGGGATAAAGTACAGTACTCTTACATGGAACCGTCGCCTCGCTTACACACACACACAGCATGAATGGCACGCGATGTATACATCTCATATCGGTGACCAAAATAGTTGGAAGTGTGCAAAAGTTCTCCGTTTGGGGAGAAAGCGACGGGAATGGAACCCTACCTGCCTGCAAGCGTTCCAATGCATTAGACTGGGCTCCAGGATCCTGAAAACGTGCTCGATCCTGGAGCCTTTTAAAAGAAGCGCGTCAGCCAGTGGATTCATCGGGAAGGAGGTGTTTAGCTCAGACTCCTAACCTCATTTCCTTGAGCTCTGCAGATTTGATGCCAAGGTGCTCGCCATCTGCAGTGCCCGTCCTCCTCTCTCTTCACACCACCTGACCATGAAGATGCCGTTTCACCAGCAGGGGACTGGGTTGATCTGCAAGGGACAAAGAAATGTTTGGAAATTAGCTGTCTGCACAGTCTATGCTGCCGAACGGTTGCTGCAATAAAACAGTCATCTCATCTTGTACCTCATGAATGCTTGAGACAGCACTGCTGCTGGGGTTTCGACGACTGTAAAACACACAGCTGGTCTCAATTTTGTACAAAAAGGATCCTGCAGCATAAGACGTATTTCTGCCGTGAGGTGTTAGGAGGGCAGTACCGGTACTGCCCTCCTATGTTCCCAAATCACCAAGTCCCTGCCCTTCTCCCCACCCATCCCACTACTATAGCTAAATTCATTCACCAAGTCTGGGTCTCTGACTTTGTAATACGTGCTGTAAGTCTGTCAATTTGGAACACAAGCAGGGCAGGAATGTTCATTGACAGATACCTCCTAACAGGCTGTCAGTCTGTCCTACCTGAATAAAAGACAGCCTTTAAACCAGATGGGGTCGGCAGTGGCCACCTCTATGCACATGACTGCCGTCGTGTTCGTCCTTGAACACTAAGTTTTTATCAAATGCACACATGCACGGCATCCATGAGTTCTGATTCAGCTTCCATCCTCTTGTGTCCAGACATTTCTTACTCTTTGGCCTAGCTATGTAACAGTGAGTCCCTGTAGAATGTTTCAAAAATTACAGGAGGAAGAACTAGATGAGCCCTTTGCGGGGCCTGGTGCCGAAGACCCGAATGGTGGCGACAGCCTCCTTCCGATTCTCGTCTGCCCTTTGGGTAGGCGTTCGGCTTCACTTAATAAAATGGCTTGTCTTTGACATTAAAGGGCAGGATTTCCTGAGGAGGGCTGTGCCTGCCTTCTACTTCCTGGAGTGCGGCAGACCAACTTAAAAATTCAAAACTTGGAGTACATCCGCATTCAGACTTTTGTATTCAAATGCAGCAGACACCTAGAAGGAGGAATTGGACTTAGTTCTCCCGTCAACCTCTTTGCCTTTTGATAATTGACAAGTCCAAGCCTCCCTCTAGGGATGATTTGAGGGTTGCCATCACGACA